AAAAGACAGCTTTTAACTTCGCTAATGTGATTGTTATGTTTATTCTACTTGGCTGAAGTCAGTTGTGATAGCGTGTCTTTCTACACTAGCTGATTATATGTGAGGCGTGACTGAATATAAAAACCGTAATGTGATAACAAATCGTGAAAGCTGTCACAAAGACACTCCGAATCCTCAGAGTCACGACAGCTTTGATCGATTCGTTCATCAGCTCAGACAGCTCAGTGTTGTTGGAGAGGTTGACTTTATCTAACTAGTCCCTCAAATAGACCCAAATCTTCAAATGCACGATGAATTCTTTCTTTACTGCAACAATATTAGGTAAGTCTTTCCAATAGATCACGTCAAGCTTCTTGGGACCTCACATTTAAAGAACCTTGGAACTACCCGCAGTCATGTACTTGGACAGAAACACTATATAACCAGGCCATTTAATACACTTGTTTAAGGCACCGCTACAGAGGAGAACATATCAAACAACAAGTTCCATCGAACGCATCGGAAACGTTTTCAGAAATAACATTATTCGGACTTTTAGACTCTCAAATGAATATTAATTACTCGTGTTCTATTAAGGCTTGTCTAAACATGGCTTTAGCCGTAGCTTTAAGCAACCAAGGCTGCGGTAGGCATGATTCATACCTGGAACGTTAGACCTAAAGCCTGTGGATTTTAACCCCAGGTTTTAGGTCTGTAGACACTTCGTTCCTTGACTCTAAGCCCGCCTAATCACCAAATAAATTTTACCCATAGATGCAAAACTGAACTTGGCCTGATCTGTCTGCTTGTCATTCAGTGATTACCCCAGCGCTGATTGACGTACAAGTGTGTGAATTATTTCAGTGTCTTCAATTTCCTTCACATGGAAATCGGTCTTTCTGAGCATTTTCTTCTTTTTTAGCGTTGGTGTATACATTTGTTCAAGCAAGTCAAGAGACCACCAAATTATGCAACATCACACAACACCAAGATGCACGAGACGACATTTTGACGTGGTTCAAAGTGCGTGACGCGCTTACATCTCTTGGTTACATGCAGTCAATTCGCCTACAAAACTTGAGCAGGGTTTGTCTGGCGAAATTATGATGTTAGAAGCAGATGTTTTGATGCGAAACAATCAGGTATGTCAGGGGATTTATCAATGGATTCTCTTTCCATTATTTCCCCTTCGATCATTCAGGTATTTACGCCTGTGTAACAAGAAAAGAATCTTAAACACTGTCTAAATTTCGCCAGTGACTTGGTGATTAATTGAGTAGGAGAATAACTGAATGATTAATACTTATGATTGATTAATCAATAAGTTATTAATTGATCAGTTGGTTTCGTTAATGGATCAATCGATTGATTGAATGACTGATTGTGATTGATTGATTGATCCACTGATTGATTGACTGATTCATTGATTGCTTGATTGACTAACTGATTGGTTGGCTGATTGATTGATTTATTGACCAATTGATTGATTGACTGACTGACTGACTGACTGAAAGATTTATTAACTGATTGATTGATTGATTGATTGATTGATTGACTGATTAATCAATTGGTGGATCAAATCGATCGATTGATCTCGATCACTAGATAAGGAATGACTGATTGATTGGTTGTTTGGTTGAATGATTGATCGATTGATCGATTGATAGACTGATTGATGGTTAGATAAATGGGGAAAGAATGACTAATTAACTGATTGACTGACTGATCGATAGATTGACTGACTGACTGATTGATTGACTAACTGATTGGTTGATTGTTGACTGATTGATTGATTGATTGATTGATTGATTAATTGATTGATTGACTGACTGATTGGTGGTTAGATGAATGGGGAAAGAATGACTGATTAACTGATTGACTGATCGATCGATCGATCGACTGACTCATTGACTGATTGATTGATCGATTGATTGATTGATTGTCTTACTGATTGATTGATTGATTGATTGATTGATTGATTGATTGATTGATTGGTTGATTGTCTCCATTAGGTAAATGGTACTCCAGTGATGGCCCATCCTCCAGCCGTGGACAGCAACCTCACTCTGGCAGATTTTCTAAAGCAAACAACAACCTCGTCAAAGGGCATCAAGTTGGATTTCAAGACGATTGTGGTGGTCGAGCCGTCCCTGACGATGATAGAGAACATGACATTCGGAAGGGATGTCAAAAACCCGATCTGGCTCAACGCTGACATACTACCTGGTCCATGCTACGACAAGATATGCGTTCCGGTCGATCATTTTCGGTTTTTATCTCTCTGCAAAAAATACTTTCCCAAAGCAACTCTTTCCATAAGCTGGACAACAGGCTACAATATGACACCGGCGGAAAACTACTACAATTGGTCTCAAGCTATTTCGATGGGGAAGCTTGTGTCGCAAATTTCTCGGCCTATAACATTTCCCATCCGTGCGGTTTTGGTAAAACGCTCCTGGGAACAGATTCATTGGTTGCTTGACTTATCAGAAACCTTCACCATAACTATTTGGTCCTCAGTCTCTGACAAGGTAGACGTCCAAGACCTCGTTAGACTTAGAGGGAGTGTTTTGGACAAAAGAAGAGTCTTTACGATCTTCCACCAAGCCAAGAGAAGGCGTTCAAAGCAGCTTTAAAATCCTGGGACTAAATACATCTCAAATTCCGTAAACAGCTTCTGGTGGAGAGCCATAGCGAGAAAGGAATGTGAAGATGTTCTTGTTGGTCGTAACAGCGTGATGTTTTCGGGAGAGGGTGGTTTGGTGATATCGGACAAGATTCTTTATAAGATCACTGCCTATTATTACCTATTCGTAAACGGCATTTGTTCATTTGTCAAGACTGATGCGCCAAATGACAAGAGGACTGTTACAATACAAGTTCACGTTGAAAACGCCACAGGGACGGTAACAAACGTAGGAAAGGCAAGTTCTTCGGGTGATGGCAAGTTTGTAACGCTGGTTCTGGACAACAATGGTGACTTCCAGTTTTCGATAAATGGCGGTGATACCAAACAAGGATCCGTTAAAAGCGACACTAATATGTTCAAATTCTTGATCACGGAGAGTTCACCTGATGGTAAACGCAGAACATTCAAGTGTTGGATCACTGCGCAAGACAGCAAGAAGGAAGAAGCATTCGTTTCCTTGAAACAGAGAGCGAGCCAATGGCAGGTCATCTGTTGATCAGTACTGAGTACAATCAGGAGCGGTCCTGGTGCAGAAGGTCCAGATTCGGTTGGCAGCTAGTGAGACTTCTGGGAGCGGAAAAGGGCCCCATTATTTTCATACGTTTCTGTCTGTTTTGTGGGCAGTGGCAGCAACTACGCTATATTTGTAGAAAGGACGCGATGCCATCCCAAACTATGAAAACAAGCTACAGTCAAATCCCCGCCCTACGGACACCTCATTATCACGGACAGTTTGTTTTGTCCCTGGGGAAAGAAAGCCCTTACATTTTCTCTAAATTCAACCCGCTTAATAGGAGCACCTCGTTAATGGTCAGCCACTCCAGAATATGAAGACAATGATTAAATAATAATGACTGTAATTATAATAATTGTATCTGGTTAGCAAATTCGATAAAATTATAAACAGAGCGTTCACCCCCTAACAGAAATGCCTGGGTCACAGCATGCCAGATTATTTTAAACAATATTTTTTCGTGCGCCAACGAAAAACAGATACGACTAGAATTCTGTCAATTTAAATAAAGAGTTTACTAATTGAAGACCTTTGGAAAGAAAACCTCAGAGTCTCCATTTAGCTGGAGGGCAACTGCCATAATGCGATGTAATGTTTGGGAAGACAGTGAATCACATCATGAAATGAGCGGTATACAGTTTGTTACACAGGACATACGAAAACAGGACACGGTGTAAACGGGTGCAGCGGGTGGCACATACCGTTACGGGGCATTAAACTTTAGGGTAAGCTAATACAAATGTTTGGATTTCACAAAATTGTATAAGAATTCATTCCTTACACAGTCGGTATACAAGAGTATCTTTAAACTCTAGTGGTAGCCCTAGCAAAGGGAATTAGGGGACCACATGAAGCAAAGAAGAAAATATTTTCACCTTCGAACATACAAGCACTCGTAGATTTAATCTGGAGGTCGCGCGTTCGAATCCCACCGAGATCTTAGTACTTCTTGCCGAGGTGCAACAGGAGTGGCTCATGAAGTTCTTAGGGAATATTTGCTTTTCCTGTCTGACCTTTTGACGACATCATAATCACAAATTCTGCACCGTGATAAGCTACATAAGGATTTCTTTTTTTAAGACAAGTATATTTTTGAGCGATGGGCGCAAATTTGCCCATATCACTTCTACAAGCAGCCGCCGGGTCAGTCCTTTTGTCTTTCGAAGGGCTAACTCCTTCGTGATCAATTTTTAATTCGTGATCGATTTGTCCCCATAGTTTGTTGAAGAATAAACATTTAATATTATTATTATTCCCAGAACTTATGACCCTTAGAGTCATGGTTTCCGACCTGATAATCCAGATCAAGTTCATACGCAGTTCCTTTTAAAATACTTTGAGCTTTTTGAGCTTTCTTAAGCCTAAAAACCGTTTAGGTTAAAAACGATACGCTTTCTATTCTTTTCTCAAAACCATGAGGCTCACTGGTTTTGAGTTAATCGAAATATCTTGTTCTTATTCGCTCTTTACATTTTGTTGAGCTAATCAGGTTAGGAACCAAGATATTCCTCAATGTGGTTTTGTATACTCCACTCATCCACAAGAATGGGTGTTCCGTTTGGTAACAACCGGTTTCGCTCCTTGTCGAATTCGCTACGTCTTAGTTTGCAACAAATTCGCTGCATATTACTTTCTGTAAACCACTGAAAATATTCCCTTAGTCGCTCTAGGAAAAAATATTTTAATATATTTCTCACTCTTTTTAGTTTGCCCTCCAAGGGTGCAAGTTTCGGCCTTCGCCAATAGCCAGCAAGACAAATATGTAGGCAGCGAAGTCGAACGTAGCCAATGTGACAAGCAGCGAAACCGTTGTGAACTTTATAGTGTCTTCTTTACCTTTAGTTCTTCCATAAATTTGGCTTTCTGATCTGAAGGGAGATCATAAAAGATCTTTTTGCTATTGGACACTTTATTTTGTAGAACAACTAAGTCCTTAATATTGGGCTTATCGAAAAATGCTGACCACACTGTTAGGCTGTAGTTACTGGAGAGACTCAAAAGCCAGATCATCTGTTCCATTGACTTGCCAATCATATTAGCTCTAACTGGGAAAGTGACTGGCTGAGTGACACTGGAGAGCAAGTCTTTCATTGGCTGAACAAAACGCCATTCATAATAGTCATTTTCAACAGAAATAAACGAATGAGTGGTCCAGCCAACAGAGAGAGTAGCTGATGGAAAATACTTGGTACAAAGTGAAAAGAACACCCCTGGATTGACAGGACTACAATCACTTTTGCAAGGGCCAGGCAAGATATCTGCATTCAACCATATTGGATTAACGGCTTCTTGTTGTGAGGTTTGTTCTAGAAGAATTTTCAGTGAGGGTTCAAGAACATCTGTGGATTTGAAATCCAGTTTGATACCTTTGCGTGAGTTGAGAGCCCCTTTAAGAAACTGCACAAGTGAGAGATCACTGTCTGTACTTGGTGGATGCGCCATGATGGGAGTTCCATCAGCCTGCTGGGATACATCCGCCTCTAACATCATAACCTAAAGAAGAGGGATAAATTTAGGTTTCTAGGAAATTGCCCACCTGTCCCTCCCCTAACTCAACATTAACACTTACTTCTCACTTAGGGCAAAATGTTGGGTTAGGGGAGGGGTAGGTGGGCAGTTTCCCAGAAGCCTAAATTGATCCAAGAAAAGATATAGAGAAAGTCAATGCAGTCAACTCTATCTAAGACTGACACCTTTGGGATCATGATACGTTTCTGGGAAACTGTCCACCTACCCCTCCCATAAGCCAACATTAACACTTACTTCTCACTTAAGGCAAAATGTTGGCTTAGGAGAGGGGTTGGTGGGCACTTTCCACCTTTGGGGTTGCCAGTAAGTGTCTGTGTTAGAGAGACGTCTGTCTTACAGAGAGTCAAATAAAGCGAGTAAAGAAAGGTAGGGACCAACTCTAGGTATCTACTTCACAGAGATTCCTATCTTATAAAGGTGTCTTAGAGAGATGTACGTTTTAAAGAGATTCAAATAAAGGGAGTAAACAAAGGTAGGGACCAACCACAGGTGTCCGTTTTACAGAGGTGTCTGTTAAGAGAGAGTCGGCTGTACAGTGTGTGACCTATAGAAGGTTTTACACAGTTACATGCACTCATTATAGTTAAGTTAACTGTTGAGACATAAGCTCAACTTTTAAGCCATAGCTACAAGAAAGGTACAGAGACCATTAGAACCAAAACAAGAAAAATCCATCTATCACAAGGAAAAAAAGAGTGCAGATGCCATCATATTTCCAGAGTGTGTGACACCCAAGTAATCTTTGAATTGTCTACTGGCAAAACCATGACAGCAGACAGTGATATTGCATTTGCCGAGCCTAGTCCTTGTATTCTCTCTCGCCACATTGTCTGTGAGTCTCTATCAGTGACATGACAGCTCAGGGTATAGAGTATTGGTTTGACTGAGCCTAGAATGGTTAGAGACTAGGCTGGCATTGCCTGTACATTTTGAAAACTGTGCAATCACAATGTACAGAATGCTACACATAATGTGCTTGGTCATTGTCCATGAACTTTTAGCGTAAAGACACACAGCTGTCATCACCAGAAACTTGCTTTCTTTATTTTGTTAAACATTGTGTGCAACATTATTTTGAATTTTTTTTTTGCGAAATCATTGCTGATTAAGCAAGCAAAAGCCTTGAAATAGTTCAGCAAGAAAAATAAAAGGCAAAACTAGAAAAAAAAGAGTCCAATCCCTAAACTGGAAAAAATCTTCAAAAAAAAGTGTCGTCATTATTTGTCATCACTGTGCAAGACTGACAGTTACGAGAATGTTCATTTAATTATTCTGCTTTTAGCAATTGAAGGCCTGGGAAAACCCTTGGGAGAAACTGATAAAGAAGAAAAGAGGCTGAAATGAAACTTAACATTTGTCATGTGGAAAATGGCTAACCTGGCACAAATCCTCTAATAATCAAGCACCACAAGGCAAGTTTGTCTATGTTCTTTTCTTTCCATTGTATGAAACGAATATATTCCATCTTGCCTTGTTTCTGTTCAGTGATAGATCACAGAAGGCTTCAAAAAGTGTTGAGATCATCATTGACACACTCCTGTGGCTTGTGTGCCTTTTTTTTGTTCTTACCACATTTTGATATCATCTTTGATCAAATATTACTGAAGAAACCACCCTGAGTGCCTTACCACCTGTGGCTTCAGCCCTCAGCCAAAGACATGTGACCCGCTCGCCAACCCTGAAGCATCTCATCCCCCTCCCTCACCCAACACATACATGAGAAAATCCTCTAATACCTAGCAGGCAGAGCAGGGCATCAACAGACACATGGCAAAGTGAAATCTATTTGTAAGGTAGGTAAATATATATTAAAATCACCTCTGTAGATAATGCTGTCTGAAGGTTGGACTGGCTGTTTACTGCATGAGCCCAAGTAACATCCAAAGCATCATTTACATCAAAAAATTCCAACAAATCAACGGAAAAATGCTGCTGACTAGCCCTCTGTCTTTTTTCCATTGTTCCAGCCTACAGAGTTTGGAAACGAAAGAAAGACAATATTATCCTTGCATTTCTGTAAGAATATTTTATCTATCTGTTCTTCCATCATCTTCATCTCAATAAATAAGTTGTTACAGACCACAACCAGAACCTGCCCCGCGATATAAAAGTCACAAAATTCAAGTTTATCCAGATTTACAGATAAAAATCGCATGCTTCACCTTGTGTCCAAGCTGTAGCAAGTTTCTAACGTAAGAGACCAAAAGAAACAAAACCACTAAGACAAAAACTCCAATCAAAGTTCTCTTCATTCTGTTGTTGATCCGTCCGCCATTTTTCTTGCTTGACTTGTGCCCAGTTTGCCGCGGGTCAATAAAGCGGAAGAGGACTGAAGCTGATAAACATGGCGGACGATGGATCGAGGAAGGCTAAAATGCGAAAAACCGTGGATCGGCTATGAAACAAAGCATATTTATGCGACGATGGATTATCCTAGTTTTGCTTTTAATGATTTCTATTACCTTTCTGTTTCTACAGCTATTATCTTTGAAAGTAATTGATAACACGGTGAGTGAAATAGCTCTTTTTAGTCTTGGCGCGCCTTACGTACTACTTCAGCGGTATCAAGGTTTAGTTACTGATACTCAGTATTTATTGATCTGCAATATGAATACCTCCCACAGGTGATATCTAGGTTCAGAGTCTTAGAAAGTCTGCGAGGCTTACTTCCATTCCAACACCAAAGGAATCTTGTGCTGGTATGTTTTGAACACAGGGCGCCCACACAATCTGTGTGTGTGGCCGATTGTTTAGTAAAATCCAGCCAGTGGTCTATTATCAATGCTGCGTTCTGATTGGTTGAGCTAATACTAGGCTATATGTTATAGCCCACTAGTAGTGAAAAGCGCAGGCTTTTTGGCGGCATTAAAGGATTAAAATCTAGCTTTAACTAGCTAAATTTTTTTATTCTCGATATTTTTGACCAACTAGTTGGATTTTACTAAAACAAAAATATTATTCCTCGAGCCCGAATGGGCTCTGAGTCAATAGCCCATTCGGCCTTCATCCTCATGGGCTATTGACTCAAAGTAGTCTAATGTTTGCGAAAAAATCTGTAATCTTGAGCATTTTACTGGCCGCAGGCTAGTGTAAGGGAGTTACATCTGACTTTAGCTTAGTTTTCGGCCTCATGGGCTATTGAATCAGAGCCCATCCGGGCTCGAGGAATAATTGTTAAATAGCAAATGTACTGGATTTACCGTTTGCTTCACCTATAGCGATACATCGCTAAGTATGTATATAACTCAATGTTAAATAAACGTTGAATTACCTTACCTGCGATAATTGTGTTGTTATCCTTTTGCCTCAATAGCGGTTTTTTGAGTGATTTTGAAGGATTTTCAGTTTGCCATTTACTGTTCCTTATATAAGCTTGTTTTGAAAGGCCTCCAGCGCCAAAGTGATTTCCCCCAGAAAACTGCATTGCTTCGCTTTTAAACTTCGCAGCAAAAAGGTCAAAAGGTTCACGCTTCTCCTCGTACCTTCCGATCGAAAACAGCCCTGGAGCTAGCTCTCGAAGAAAATTGATGCCACAAGTTTTGGATGGTCAAAATGCATAGCAAGATTCATACGTGCCAGTGAGAAATCGTCCCGCTGATTGCCCCTTTTTGATTGGATGTTGTTAAACAATAATCTTTTACCAAGTCTGCTTTAAATTAGTTACTGTTTAACCATTTCATTAAAATACATACT